GTGTTACTTTCTACATGCTACAGCGAGAGCAGGAGCTGCACTGCTGGTTATCTGGCTGTTGTAGTGCACTATGCTCTGCCCTTAGTGCTGGGCAGCAATTAGCACTAGTCACAGCAGCTCTGGTTCCGGTGATGTTGGGCGTAGGCAGAGTCAGAGTTGTTAGAGCTCCCTGGCTGCCCAGACTAGGGGGCTTTTCTGCACAAATGGCTTCTTGCCTGCATGTCAAAGTTTCTTTCTAATTGGGAGATGAGGAGGATAGTTAGATGGTGGGTGTACTTATCTATGCAGGGTGAGTTTGCTTTTGTGAGGTTTTTAGTCAGTCCTGTCAAACGGCTTTCTCAGCTGTGCAGATGAGAGTAATCCCAGGTTTTTCACTCCATGGTTGCACAAATGCTTTCTGGTCTTACCTCAGGCATCTGGTACCTGTGTTTAAGAGTGATCTAAGTGTGTTGAGTCACTGGGAACATTAAACATTAGGATGACTGGAGCATAATGGAACCAGATAATGTAAAAGTGGGACATGTTAAACACTTTGAGTATGATCTCTTTGCCAGCGATAATCCTAACATTGAAGATGGGTCTGATCTTGTGCTGAGATGCCTGCAGTGTATATTCAAGTATCTTGGCCATCTCCATTGCCATAAACCTTGGTAGCAAAGGCTAGTGTATCATGTAGCTGGTAGCTTTCATTCTTAACTGCCTGTCTTGACTAACTGATTTGTAATAACTTGCAAAAAAGCTCTATTCTAGTAATCAATCCTCTACCTTGTTTAGCAAAACTGCAGTAAGTTCTAAATAGCCTTGTGCTTTTAAACTTGATTTTAGGTTTGTTTAAGCAAAACTAGACTGCTAATATGCAAATATTGAAGTAGTCGGTCTTTATCTCTTTTTCAGAGGATTTGATATTGGAAATCACTTCTGTGAATGGATGTATGATTACACATACGAGAAGTACCCTTTCTTCAAAGCTAGTGTTCTTAAGTATCCTTCAAAGAAGCAACAGGTAGGCACATAAGATGTAATTAATAAAATGCCACTGTCCAGAATCTTCAAATTTTAACTCTTTTTTCCAATTCTGTTTTGGACTTACTCCCTTAAATATAACACTTCCTGTAATCCTGACTACCTTTGCTTTAAAAATCACAGAAACTTGGTAATAGTTACTTGGGATAGAATATTTACTGTGTGCCACATAGCCGTCTACTGCAGAAAGTCCAGCAGTTGTGGACTGCAGCTGTGACATCAGCTGGCAGTAGCAAAATGTTGTCTGTTGTCCTGATATTATGGCTTTTCTTAAAGCAGACTTTCAAGCATTAGTAGAACCACCCTTAATCTTAAGGCTAACTTCAGTACTGTCGATGTTTGGAAAAAATAAATGACCTGTTACTAAAAGGCCTGCCTAATTCTGAAAGAAGCAAGTATGTCTTGAGACAGAGTTGTAACTGTTGTTTCCTTGCCTTCCAGCTTCATTTTATCTCCAGTTACCTGTCTGCATTCCATGATGGCTTTGAAAATCTGAGCAACGAAGACAAGTCCAAACTAGAAGAAGAAGTGTTGATAGAAGTTAACAGGTAACTTGTCTTTCACAGCTATATCTTGAAACTTCCACTGTAATACCTCTAATTGTGTGCTCACTGGGTGGGGAAACTTCAGCCAGGGGAGTTTATAAGCTATTTGCAATGGACAGGTTTCTCATTGCCCCACCTAACCTTTAGATATGTGGTGTGCACTGTTAGTGGAGAAAACGAAATGCTACTTGCTGGGGAAGCCAATAGAATTATTTTTATAATGTCATGCTTGAAGAAAAGGTGTGGACATCCCTGAAGTAGGGAATGCTGTTCTAACAGGGAGTGCAATAAGGTGGTGTGCCTTAGCTGGGTACTTCAGTAAACAGCCTTGTAATTTCAGGTTTGCCCTTGCATCACACTTCTTCTGGGGTCTGTGGTCCATTATACAAGCAAAGATCTCATCCATTGAGTTTGGCTACCTGGTAAGTTACTTAATCGTAGTTTCATGTAACTAAAAATGTGTACTCTTACGTGGCATATTGTTGGAAAGTAAATGAAATGTCCTCTTACAGCAACTGATACGTTCTAAGTGGAGTAAAACTTTAAAATCGATCCATTACTAGTTTGTGCTCTTTCCTTTCGAGTGTAAAGAACACCTTAGATGGTAAAAACTTTTAAAGTCTTCCCGTTGTAACGTAGGGAGACTGTAGCCTTCTGTGTCATGCTCTGCAGTGGGCTGGTACCTTGCAGTGAGGTGGTTCTGCAGTGTGAGATCCCGTGCGGGAGGGAGGCTGGCGTGCAGCAAGTGTGGCTGGGGCAGTCGAGCAGTCAGAGTGCACCTGTAACCAAAGTGCATGTTGGTATTTGGTGGGCAACAGCAGCAGTGCTAGGAGGCTCTTCTTTGGGATCAGTCCCACCCTGGATACGTGTTCAGTGTCCTGTAAAGGGATACAGCATTCAGGTACATGGGATGTCCCGCAGGAAGTGTGGCAGAAGCCATCCTTTTTGGTGGAATTCTGAATTTTTTAGCTCCTGGTTTGGTTTTGTTTTTTTTTTCTGACTTGCTGGCAGCAGCGATCTTGTTAGAGTTGAAATGAGATTGGAGGAAATGACATTGTGGCTTGTGTTAGGAAGAGTGTGGCCAGCAGGACTAGGGAGGTGATTGTCCCCCTGTTCTTGGTGTTGGTGAGGCCCCACCTCAGTTTTGGGCCCCTCACTACGAGAAGGACATGGAGGTGCTGGAGAGAGTGCAGAGGAGGGCAACCAAGCTGGTGAAGGCCTAGAGAATGAGTCTTATGAAGAGTGGCTGAGGGAACTGGGGCTGTTTCGTCTTAAGCAAAGGAGGCAGAGGGGAGACCTTACTGCTCTCTACAACTGCCTGAGAGGACCTGTAGAGAGGCAGGGGACGGGGTCTTTTTCCAGGGGAACAAGAGGGAACGGGCTGAAGCTGCACCAGGGTAGGTTTAGGCTTGACATCAGGAAAAAATGTTTTCACTGAAAGGGTTGTCAGACATTGGGACAGGCTGCTAGGGAGGTGGTGAGTCACCATCCCTTAATGTGTTTAAAGGTCATTTAGATGTGGTGCTTGGAGATACGGTTTAGGGGTGCGCTTGGTGTAGAGTAGGGTTGGTGGTTGGACTCGATCTCAAAGGTTTTTTCCAACCTGAATGATTCTATGAAATTTTAAGAGGTCAGAACACCTCTGGAGAGACTATCCTTCCCCAATAGAGCTAATTAACATGTTGAGATGATGGATTAGGAAGGTAAACCAGTTAATACCTTCATTATGCTTCACCATCCCAATTAAGAACCGTCATCTGTTTGCTGTATTGAGTACAAGATGTCCTTTATTTCTCCAGGAATACGCATTATCCAGATTCGATGTGTACTTTGATCAGAAGAGGAAGCTGAAGGTGTGAATGTGGGAGGAGTGGCCTGTTGGTTACTGTACAAAGAGGGCAGCTGGACAGAACTTACACTGTGCTTAGGCTACTGTATCTAACGAAGGTGTCACTGAATTCCAGTTCCTTGGAACGCAGGTGTACAGGACTGAAGACTATAAAAAGGACTTATTTACAGTTGCATAAATACTTGGGATGAGATTGGGAGACAAAAGTAAAATACAACAGTGCAATATCTTTAAATCTTTTTGATCTAGAAGGTATTTTATATTACTGGAGAAGCTTACAATTAAGTGTCCATACCACATGCACCAGAGCAAACAGTGTTACTGTGAGTACATTGTCTAGGGGGGTGTTGGTGTTATGGTTGATGTTGTGAGTGGAACAGCTGTAAAAGGTGATTCATTTATGTACTGCCTCATAATGAGAAGAAGCGAAGGAGACAACTTAAAACTGTGAAGTAGGTTTAAAATCTTACTGTGAGATGAAGTTCAACACGCCCCATGAACACTATCTTCAAAGCTGCTGATACATTACACCACTCTAACCATAAAGCAACCCAGCACGCTGGAGTGGTGCGCTTCAGAGCGTTACCTGCCTAGCCTGAATGTTTCTCCTCAACTGGTGTGCCTGTGAAGTGCGAATGAACCTTGAACTGGACATTCTGAAGGGCTTTGGCTTGAAATCTTCATTCCATGTCCTTCAAGAGCATACTTTAGCCCAGCCTGGTTGTCTCTTAAAACGCTGTGTCCTGCACAGGGGGTTCTGTGGGCTGGCAGCACTGGGAAGAGTGCCTTGACTTGCTCCCGCAGCCCCCCTCAACTGGATTGGCATTGACAGACATACCATTGGAGCCCGTCTTCTTGTGTTGCCACAGTGTCTGGCTGTGAGAAATGGTAGAGCCAAAGCCTGCAGGGAACACTTCAGGAAATGGCTGTTCTGCCCATCCGGCACGTAACAGGGCTGGGGAGGTGCTTTTCTTGCACCTTCCGTTTTCATCACGTTCCAGCAATCCAGTGAAGTGGAGCGTGTTGTGGGGAACAGCAGTGTGTACATCGGAACTCGTGTAATCTGTGTACATGTCATCTAAAGACTTTGGATCTTTGGGAGCTTGTTTGTTTTGAATGTTACTTGTTTGTACTTTCTAACACACTGTATTATAAATAATAAACTTCTAAGTCTCCCCTTTTTCACTTGTATAGCAAATACTGTTTCAAGCAGCTAAAATACTGCAGCATTTCATGTACTGTATAGCATAACTTGTAAAAGCTGTCATTTTATTCTCTAGTATAGAGAATTGTTTTCCATAAGCTCAATTATTAATATTTTATAATAAATATAAAGCACTTAAAACATCATAGTTGATATTCTTAAGTCTCTGTTATATTTGCAGGGTAAAACACGTGCTGTTTCTGGCCTTAATCTATGCTGGAAGTACTTTCTTGCTTACCTTCAAGGGCAGGCTCAGTGCTGTGGGATATACCTTCTCCTTAAGTGTCTTTTGCATTTCTGGTGTACCAGCAGCAGTCAAAAGTGTGGGCAAGAAAGGTGGTTAAAGTGTGTGATGAGATACAGTGAAGTGCTTAAACCTAAACCTTTCCCCACCTCTAAAACTAGTATCTGTCCTGTTAAGGACCCTAAAAGCCAAGGTGAAAGTTAGCAGCATGGATTGGGTGTTGCTGGCACACCAGGTGGGTGGAGTACCTGGCCCATGAATTGCCTGGTGATTTCTCTTGGCTACCAAAGGCTTGGTTTAACTGGCCTGATTGCACACAGTAAAGTGGGGGGTGGCAGTGTAACAGAAGGGTGGAAACAGCTCAGACTGATGCTGTGCAGCTGCCTGGGAAGGGCTGATGGGCCAAGGGGTGTCTGGTTTCTGCAGGAAGCCTGGACCTGCGCTCCAAGGGTAAGTTCGAGTTCTCAGGAAACCCCTGGAGACTGTCCTCGGGCTCAGCTGTCACAGTTACCGGGTGGGGAAGGAGACTTGCCACAGCAACACTGCCTGAGGGGAGGTTGCCTCAAAGGGGAAGCCCTTGTTGGGGTTGGGGTGGGGTTTGTTAAACAAATTCTGAGAGGCAACTTCCCTGGCAAGACTGCTTTATATGGCCCAGAACAGCTGCACTCCAGCACGACTACTGGGATGTGAGGGGAGGGAAAGCATGCTCCGTCTTGTGCCTCGAGGGTGGTAAATCTGCTTGGAAGAGGGTGGGATCCCCCAGGGTTGTGTGTGGCAGGCTTAGTGGGCACATGAGGAAACCAAAACTTGTCTTGTCTTGGTATGACTTTTTTTTTTTGGTGTAGATTTGCCTATTAAGGTCAAGTCCTTTTAGGTTTTCTTGGGGAACTTGCACCAGAGAAACAGGAACTGGAGCAGAGTCATGGAGTGCTAAAGCTGACTTTTGTGGCTATTTGAATGTACTGGCACTTCTGTAACAGGACGTGTCTTGTGAAGCTGTAGTCTTAAGACTCACTATAAATGTAGTTAAATGTTTCTTACGTTCCATATGCTCCATAACTATTTTGAAGTTAATCTGATTTGGTTTTCATAAAGGCAGTTTAAAACTACTGACTAATCCTCCTTTCAGTTGATTTGTAAATACAACCTGTGTTTGAGCTCTTCCTTGAAACCTTGAAAACTGGTTTATTTCCAGTTTTGAGAGTTCTTGTCTTGGTGTCCATGTTGCCTCACAAGTTGGTGGTGAAAAGACCTGCTTGTTACCTGGTGAAAATGCAAATTTTGGTTAAGAATTAAAAAGCCACAGCCACAATGCAACCACCTTTTACTTCTGAAGGAGCTCTCCCTTGTCTAGCCAGGCAGCTGGGCTTAGCCGCCATTCATAGGTGACTCAGTGGGTCATGGGCACAGTCTCAGGCATCCCCCTCCATCGCTCCTACAGCCATTGATGCGTGCTCAGACTTCAGGAAAATGCCCCGCTAAGCTCATGAAGGATCTAATGCTGCAAAACTCAGCCTGTGCAGTCTCAGGGCTGTGTCAGACATACGGCCTTCTCTTTAACCAAAACAGGTATTTTGGGTCTGAGCTGGATGCAATCTCTTCATAAATTAAACCTCTTTTGTAGTGGTGATGCCACTGAACAGAATGAGACTATTATATTTTTGGAGTTGCTCTTCTCTTGATAATTGATTAGGGAGAAAATTTGTTCCCAGCCCTGCCCTCAGGGGACACCCTGCAAGGAGCAGCGATGGTGAAAAGCAAGAGCAGCCTTTACTCTTGGTGTAATGTGACTTGTGGTCTTTCCACCAAATGTACAGAGTTATTTGCTATACTGGGAAGAAGCTGGGATTACCAATATTTTGAGCAGTTACTTTGAGGACTGGGGTGGGTTTCCACTGCTAGGCTGCTTCATTAAGGATCAGAGGCAACCTTGGAAAATCCCTGTTCCCCAGCACTGAAGGTGCTAACAGGAAAAACAACCCATGGCTGGCTGGCATTCCTCTCTGAAGTGGCTTTGAGGTGTGATAGTGTTCTGAAAAGTGATTACCTGAAAATGTTACTTTGCAGATCAACTCCCTCCCTTTGTGCCTCGATCTCAAATCGGTAAGAAGTTCTGCTTTTTCCTCCTGACTAACTTGGCTGAGGTTTTACTACAGCTTAAATGGAATGAGCTGGGTTTCACTCCTTCAGATGGATATAATTATTTATTCTAGGTGATTACGGCTGTGGGAATCCCCTGGGCATCAGGGCTTGCAGCCATGTTGTCCAGGGACCTAAATTGTCCTGTGGTTCACTGACTAGACATGATATTGGAAGGAACCTGGCTTAATTCTGCGGGAGTCTGTAGAGCTGTGAACTGAAGAACGCATCCTCTGGCTTGCAAACAGAGAAGGAAAAAGCAAATAAATCAATTCACAGAATGAAGAGAATTGCCCACACCTCACGTATTCTGCTTTACCGCTGCAGGGCTGTGGGCTCCTGAGTTTCAGCAGACGAGTGACACTGTGTTAAATCTCAGTGACTGAACCTGCCAATGCCTCAAGGTACCAGTTTGTCTTCTCTGTAGACCACATCTTCAGCAAGTCAGCACAGCTTCTTGGCATTAGTAAAACCATGAGCCCAGCAGGCAGAAGCCGCAGATCCTGATGCTGTTGCTCGGCCGCAGTTTAGCTGTCCCAGAAAGGCACAGCCGGGGCAAGGAGCTGCCGGGCAGCCCAGCCCCATGCTGTTTCGGTGGCTTACAGAGACGCAGACAGGTAGAAGAAGCGCTGGTTGCTGAGCCTTACGAGGACAATAAGGCTTTCAGGAATTCAAACCCTCCCTTGAAAGATCCTTGAGGCAGCAGCCTTGAGTGAGCTCCCTCAATGCAGGCAGGATTGTCTCTGATGCCAGCCTGGGTCCACGTGAAGCAGCAAATGGAGCATTTCACCGGAGATGAATAAATAGCTGTAATGGTGCTGGGCTGAAATAAAACACAGCGTGCGCTTACAGGGCCCTGGCAGGGAGCAAAAAGGAGCTACTGTACTTGCTACCCAGGCAACAAAGCTGATCACTAGCAAACCAGCTACTTACTTTTTCCTAATGTGAAATTCCCTTTTTATGGCTTTCATTTTCAAAGTATGCAGGGCTCCTACTGACTCAGTGTTAAGTGTAATTCTATTATAATATGTGTGTGTGTGTGTGTGTATGATTTGTATTTACCAGTCTCATTAAACAGGGATCAACCAATAAAATCTGAATGCAGTCCCGTCTGCCTTTCGTGAATACACTGAACCCTGCCTCAGGAGAAAGCATCCTGACCAGGAGTCGGTGGGAGTCTCGCAGTGGTGTAGCACTGAGGTCCTTATCTGAGGACCAGTGCTAGAAAGGGTAGGAGGGTAGGTGGAGGCAATGGGATCAATTGCAGGTCACAGGCAGTCTCTGGCAGTGCCAGGAACAGCACGCAGTGGTTGGGCTGCAGCCCTGGGTGCTGGACTAAATATCTTCCCAGAAAGCCTTACAAATGCTGCCCCTGCTGCCACTCTTAGGGAATGTAACTTTTATTCATTGTTCCTTCTCAGGGAAATAAAACATGACTTGGGAATCGGACGATAACTTTGAGGTGCTGTAAAGTCAGGGCTGGCAACTGCTGTCTAAGGTGGCCCAGTGGCAGAGTTTAAATGGCTCAGGAGCTCCAGCATTCTGTAAGGGCATCCATGTGAAGCTCCCAGATCTCACCAAATTGGGAAAACAGCAGAGCCAAAAGGTGCAGCCTTGAACAGGGCTGAGATATTACTGGTTGCTTGTATCCTGCCTTGGGGACAGAAATCTTCCTGCCTAGCAGGACACTTAACCTCTGGTTGGATAGAGAAAAAGCACTGCCTGCAATCACCTCAAACATTTGCTGATCTCTGCTCTGGTGTTTGCCATCTGGAAACTCTCAGGGTTTCCTCTGCACATGGGTTTTTCTCCCTGCCACTGCACTTCCTCCAATGGCCCGTGAGGAAGTTACCGTGCTTTTTGTCTTGGCTGCGTATGCTGAAGGAAAAGGCATTGCAGCTTCTGTGTTCGAAACCCCAGTCTTCCATGCTGAATGGTCCCACTGAGCCCATGTTCTTCTCCC